CCATTTCTTTAAGGACTTGCCATAGTTTGCTGTGGTCCACACAGTCAAAGGCTTTTGCATAGCCAATGAAGCAGAAGTAGAAGTATTTCTGGAACACTCTGGCTTTCTCCATTATCCAGTGCATGTTAGCAATTTGGTCTCTAGTTCCTCTGCCCCTTCGAAATCCAGATTGTACTTCTGGGAGTTCTTGGTCCACATACTGCTGAAGCCTACCTTGGAGGATTTTGAGCATAACCTTGCTAGCATGTGAAATGAGTGCAATTGTACAGTACATGGAGCATTCTTTGGGACTGCCCTTCTTTGGGATTGGGATGTAGACTGATCTTTTCCAGTTCTCTAGCCACAGCTGAGTTTTCCAAACTTGCTGTCATATTGAATGTAGCACCTTAACAGCATCATCTTTTAAGATTTTAGATAGTTCCACTGGAATGCCATCAGCTCCACTGGCCTTGTTGTTAGCCATGCTTTCTAAGGCCCACTTGACTTCACTCTCCAGAATGTCTGGCTCCAGGTCAGCAATCACATTATCTGGGTTGTCCGGGAGACCACATCTTTCTGGTATAATTACTCTGTGTATTCTTGCCACTTCTTCTCGATGTCTTCTGCTTCTGTAAGGTCCCTCCCATTTTTGTCCTTTATCATGTCCATCTTTGCTCAAAATGTTCATTTAATATCTCCAATTTTCCTGAACAGATCTCTGATTTTTCCTTTTCTATTAGTTCCTCTCTTTCTTTTCATTGTTCATTTAAGAAGGTCCTCTTGTCTCTCCTTGCTATTTTTTGGAAGTCTGTATTCAATTTTTTGTAACTTTCCCTATCTCCCTTGCATTTTGTTTCCCTTTTTTTCTCTGCTATTTGTAAGGCCTCGTTGGACAGCCACTTTGCTTTCTTGCATTTCCTTTTCTTTGGGATGGTTTTTGCTGCTGCCTCCTGTACAATGTTACAAGCCTCTATCCAAAGTTCTTCAAGCACTCTGTCCACCAAATCTAGTTCCTTAATGTACATTAGGTGTTCCTTAAAAAATCCTTCTGTTGCCCTATGCAACAAGGGTTGTGAAAGGACTTTTTTTTCCCAATTTTGATACGTTTTTAGAAATGTTAACTAATTGACTATATTCCTTCCAGATTACTTAGCCTATAGGAGCAGCAGGAATATCTGGCAAGTAAGGGTTTTAACTGCTCTGTCAATAAATGCTTTTGAGCCCACTACCACCTTTTCAGATAACATCAATCTGGTTAACACTTTAAAAGTTTACTCTGGAGAAAGGGAAGGGATTCCCTCTTCTACACCACCTGGTTATTTTACCAGACTATAACAGTTTATGCAGAGAAAGCAAATATGCTCCCTGAATTCAGTACTATTTTTTTAAGGTCAGGAAGAAAGTTTACCTCTGGAAGCTGCGACTGTAGGCTGGCCTTCTCAGCCAATGCATCATCAATAGACTCTAAGAAACTCCTTTCCACCACATCAAAAGCCTGAAAGGACAACAGAAGGGAAGTTATTACAAGAATGCATAACAACATTCATCAAAAGCTTTGTATGGTCAGCCATATGGGAACTCTAGCAAGTATATTTAGCCCTGCACAATGCTACAAAACTATCCAGTTTATACAATGAGACCATGTCATGGCAAAGAGATTTTTACTACTGAGATTATGTAAAAGTGACATCCTTTTCTATGTGCCAAACTTTTCCATTTTACCCATCATTACAGCTTTCAAAGATCACCGTGTCATTTTGTTCTTTGTTGAACAAAGGATGAAGCACTCTGATATAGCAAGAAACATACACAGATTTCTGTATGATTTCTCTGAAGATAGAGCTCCATTACCTGCAGCAGAATTCTACGGACATCAGCATCATCATGGTCTGCGTTCAGCTGGCCCAAAAGGAGCTCTGCGGAGAGTCGCTCACCCACAAAGTTAGTGGTCCGGTTGCCCTCATATCCATTGAAGACTCCATAGAGGTAGCAATTGTTTTCACTTCTGTCAAAAGGGGAAAGAAAAGGATAAGAAAAGGGAGAGTTAAGAGAGTAAGACAAGAAGGTTAAGAAGGAGAGGGGAATGGAAAGGAGTAGCAACCTGGTCGACAAGCTACACAATAAGTATCACCAGGATAAAACATCAGAATATTTAGAAGGGCCACTTTTGCTGCTGAATGGTTCCATTCAAATCTGCAGCCTACTTACCTAAATTTCAACCAGTTATCTTCCCAAGGATGCATTTCTGTCCCCTTTCCATCTGTGGAATAGGAACGGTTAGGGGCTGAGCCCACACCAGAAAGCTGGCAAAGGGGCAAGTCATCTGTCCAGCTTGATAGCTGCTCCTGAATAACATGACAAGAAAGAGGGGCCAATGGACTTCTCTCAGCAAAGACAGCAGGGATAAGAATACAACATTTGAAACGTTATCATCTTAACAAAGGTCCTACAGCAAATTTGCTGATGAACTCTTGCTGAGCTTCATTTCTTTCCAGCATCTGATTCCTGAGTTGCTACTTTCTTCAGCCAGATATGTTCTGTACTGCTCCTACTAACCCATTTATCTCCTGCTTGATATTATGCTATTCCCTGCTCCTTGTTTTCATGACAGACAATAGCACATTCTCTTCATATGGTGCATAGTTAAGCTGTACAGTTTGCTTCCACAAGACATAGTGATGACTACCTGCTTGGATGGCTTCTAAAAGATTCATAGATGAGATCATTTCATGGATGATAAAGCTATCAACAGCTACTAACCATCCATTGCCTCCAGTAGTGAAGGCAGCATGTCTTGCTGGGAAACAGGAGCAAGGAGGGGTCTAGTGTGCTCATGTTCTGTTTGGGAGCTTCTCCTAGGCACCTAGTTGGCCACTGAGTGAACAGGATGCTAAGTTGCACTTTGGCCTGATCATACAGAGTTCTTCTTTTTTTTTCCTTTGCTCTCTTTTCACAAATTATGCAAAAGGATCTATCATTGGTTTCTCGACTGAGTTTAACCTGTAGTACAGAGAAAATATCATGCAATTTAATTATTATAACTGAGGAACAAAAGTCAAGCTTTCTTACCAATTACCTATATACAATTTGCATATTTTTGGTCCAGAACTTGAATACATTGCTTGTGTTTTTGAAGCAGTTATTGGAAATCTTCACTCCCGCCTGGCTACAAATCAGCAGGGCTACAAACCTGTTCTCTGTACAAAATGAAAAATGTAAACTCTCCTTTTCCAGCACAAGAGCAGAAATGAACATATACCATCTGGGAGAGTCTTAGACTTCTAAATGTCAGTTCTTCAAGAAGCAGTACAGGAAATTCTTCACAAAAGTAATATATGTGTTCAGAAGTGCTGTCACTGGTTTTGCAGGACTGCAGATCTACGGGCACGCTAAGTATATTTGAACCAGCAATGATTTGGGTGTATAATAGCCTAGTTCCTTGCCCATATATGAGTACTGTACCTGGTTATGTCAGCACACCGGTCATCCACAAACACTCTAATCTACTGAGGAAAGCCAACATCTGGAAGAGTTTTGCACAATTCACCAGATCAAAAGCTCACGTTGCAATGTGATTTAGCAGAGGTTTCACAATCCAGTATAACCATCAGATTTATGTAGCCTTTGGGTTCTTCCTCTAGCAAGCCAACATAACTGGAGAGAGGAATCATTATTTTTAACCCTGTTCAATTATTGGGGCAGGGGAGTCATCCCTTTCCCTACCCTGTGTTCCTGGACGCACTTCAAGCATGCTCAGCACAATGCCAGTAAAGAAAGCTTTGACAGCTAGCACAAATTTGGGCAAGTTACTACAGCCACGGGCAGGGGAGTCATCCCTTTCCCTACACTGTGTTCCTGGAGGCTTTGCCAGCCAGCACAAATTTGGGCAAGTTACTACAGCCAGCAAAAATCTGTGAACTCTGTTCTAGGTCCTGGTAAATTGCCATGCTGCTGGAGGTTTGCATTGAAAGCACCCACCCAATTCTTCCTGCCCAGTCAAGAGAAGCACATTGGCACGATGAATTGTTTTTGGATCAATAGAGCCAGTCTGTGTGGTTTAGGGCAAGCAACATGGGTCCTAAGCCACCCCCAGTAGAGGGGAATGGGAAACCATTTCTGAGTACCCAATGCCTAGGGAATCCTGGGAACGGTCGCCGTAAATCTGAATTGATCTGATAGGCATATAATTACTATTATCCTAGCACTAAGCTTTGAGATCTGAATTGATCTGATAGGCATGTAATTACTATTATCCTAGCACTAAGCTTTGAAAGGCATAACTTGAAAAACCTGGTGCAGAAGTACTGTATACAAGAAAATCTTGCACCGACATTCACACTGGGGTACACTGCTAACGTACCCTAGCGCCACTGCTGTCCCTTCATGGTGTGTAGATAACAGAAGCAAAAAAGGAACGGGGAATGCCCCGAGTGCAGCATGAGCACACCCTAAGGGGGCCACACAATCAATCTGCTTTAACTTCCCTTCATCTAATAGTGCTGACATCGCCCACAAAACTTGGAACCACCCCTTCCCCACATAAGGCAGGAGTCCCGCCATCTCCTAACCCGGGGAGGTGGTATATTCCGACCTCCATTACCCCCCCTCCCACGCTCCCCCGTGGAACAGGCTGGGCTGCTCACACTTTGCAGAAGACTCCTCCTCGCCGCCGCCATCTTTCACCAGAAGCATCATGCCCCGCCCTTTCCCTGGCAAGGCAGACAAGAAGACAGGAAGAGAGGGCTAGAGCGTCCGCCAGCCAGCGTTCCCCCTCACTACAGTGATTTTGGTTCGTCAGCCGTGTAAGTTGGTCACAGCGCCTCAGAAGGGTCGGAGGGAAGCGCTCCCGTTTGTTGGCCGGCCCCATCTTCTCTGCCCCTTACGAGTCTTTTCGTGCGAGTTAAAAAGAGCGTTACAAGCGCTAAAGGTACGATTAACCTGTAACAGCGTATTCGGGAGAACGGCCGCAATTTTAGGGCACCCCTCGGAAAATGTGGAAGGTCTGACGCAATTGGCATTTTAGAAAAGCATGTATTAAAAAGCGGGCCAGCAGCGTCCTCTGCATCTTAACTAGGGACTTGTTTCTAAAACACAGTAAACTGCCTTCTTCTGATGCACACCTTTAGCAGTGTACTGTGACAACCTTCAAACGTGACCCACGAGAATATTTGGCTGGTTTTTTTAAAAAAAAGTTTTACCTGTATTTAAGTAAATCTAGCACAAATAAGTGACTAAATAAATTACTTAAATAAAACATTTTTTAAAAAAATGTTTTACCTGTATTTAAGTAAATCTAGCACCTCTCCACACACAACTCGTTCACAGTCGTCCATGTGAAGCATATGTCCTAAAACGGAGGCTCTGATTCGGGTCTTCCTTCTTAGAGCACATGCTTGCATGCAAAAAGTTCCAGCTTCACCCTGAATATCTCAAGAGAAGTCTGAAAAAGATATCCGTCGGAACTCTAGAGTCCATGAACACCTGGGATACCCCAGGTTGGGGACCACTTCTCTAGAGACATCGGTATCTATGCTCTGAGGGAGGAACACAAGGGTTGTCAGATTCTTTGACCTACAGTTCTATTATCCTCGATCATTATATAGCCAAAGCTGGTGGATATTGGGCTCTCAACATTTGGTGGTCCACAAGTGCTTCACTTCTGCGAAAGACAATACTGTACTGTACTAGGGGCTTGTCTAGACATTAGAGACATTTCCTACATGGCCCATTGAAGTATCAACCAACCAAGTTAGTCTCTTGAATGATAGAACTGTCTACTATAAGCATTCTAAGTTGAAGATAACTGCAATATAAAAACTGGACTCAGTGTGTCCTTCACTTGTACAGCCAGCTTGTCTCTTTTCCAATTTTGCAATCTACACAAAACTTCATTACATTAGACTGATCAGTCTTTCAGTTTTGAACCTTACCTTTCCAAACACCAGGTGGACTGCCCGGTTGGTTGTACACTTGTTTGGCCATTTCACTGCCTTATTAACAAAAAAGTAGCCTTATTTAGAAACTCAAAATTTAAGCATATTTCCCCACTCATTGCCTTAAATATATTTTTAAGAATATTTTTAGACGTTTTTCAAAATTACAGAATTCACATCCACTCACATCTTTATCAAACAGCCCCCACATGGCAAGGGAAGCACTCAACAAAGGAATCTGCTTTATGCATCAAATTGCCCCCCCCCAACTGGAGATATGGAATGAAGATTCTACACGATGCGGGGGGGGGGGACATGCTTATCTGCATAGACTTTTTCAGATTTGACCTTTAATATATAGATCATAATAGGTTTTAGATATTTGGAAAAGAGGCCCATGGAAAGCCATGGTCCCTGCTTTAAACATAAGTACTTCAGCTATCACTCATTGACATGCATTATATTTTGAACCTCTATACCAGGGGTCTCAAACATGCGGCCCCCCAGATGATAGTTTGTGGCCCTCGCCTTGCCTCCCCCCCCCAAGCGCCCACACATCGTCTGCTGTCAAGAGTAAAAAAAAAGCCTTGCCTCGCTCGCCGGCTCTCTCCCAAGACAGCACCTCTTGCACCCTCCATCCAGAACTGCAGCCTGCCAGCCAGCTCACCTGTCTGTCGGCTAAGGAAACTCCTTGGCGGCTTCCTCGGGCTCTTGCTCCACTTGGCGGAAAATCTGATGCGGCCCAGCCTCACCCAGCCTCTGCCTCTAGCGGCCCCCAGGTAAATTGAGTTTAAAATCCCCCACCTTTACAGTACATCTATAAATATCTAGGCATGAAATGTGATTTAGAAGCTGATAAGGCAATTTTTATTGAAGCAGACAAGTAGGATAGGTATATATGCACTTAAAGCCAGAAAGAAAGTCACAACGCTGTCATTACAATTTTAATGTAATAACTTTATTGATAAGACACACCAGTAGTTACCACCTTCACTTTTTTTAAAATCACAAATATACAGGACACCGTAAACACAGGTGCCAAGATGGCAGGATTTATGTTAGTTGGTGGAGGGTGTGGGGAGATGTACTGGAAGGGAGAAAACAAGTCATTTGGGGTGAAGCTTGGAAATAGTCAGACATTTGGGGGATTTTTTATGCAGCAGGCCACCCCTTCTTTGTCGCATATGTTTAAACTTCTATGTGTATAGTTTTATATTTTGCCTTTATATGTAATATACATACTATACACAGACAGTAATGCTCTAGATATGAGGTGCAGAGACCACAGTTACGTTGCCAACATCCTGGGAGGAGCAAGATTATTAGAAGAAATAATTTTTATGCATTAGGTGTTGCAAAATCAACTGCCTTTGATTCCTCGTTCTGAAAAAAGGCCCACGTAAGAAGACCAAGCTCTCTGCCCAGGTATTTGAGGGCCAGGCCTGTGTGCTTCCAAATGTCAAGAGCAACTAGCAGTATCAAATTCAGAGACTGCATCCTGGTTATTGTCAAGATAAAGACAAATTAATGAACTGAAAGTATATATCTAAAGCTGACTGGGGAGACTTCATTTTGGCTGCAATAGGTAAAGAACTGGATGGGCGACTAGAGCTTATGCACACACATATCTGTGTCATTGGCTGGAAGCTCAGTAAACATTCCCACCTGTGTAAGTGTATTGGCATAACTCAGAGAGGTGAATGACCACTAATTAAACATTGATTTATTAAATCAATTGACTGAATTCCTAGTTGAATGCCAAGTCAGATCCCTAAACCACTGAGCTATCCAGCAGATCCACTACACAGTACTTGTTAATTAGTAGCTACTTGCTACTCCAAGTTATGCCAACATAAGGTGTAAATATCCAATTAGATTGTGACCATTGTTTAGAAGTACTTATGTTTTCATCAAAACCTCCATCCTTTGGGGGCCATTTGGAAGTCTAGAATAAACTGTGACTCAGTCTGCAGATACAGTACAGTATGTGGCCAGTAAATAGTCTGGTGTTTTTGTTGCCTACCTGGGATATAATCTGCATCCCTCCTGCTTGGTGGGCTAAGTTGTACAGGCCTGGTCAACCATAATGTTTGACTGGTAAATATTCCACATGCTGGTAGTTACAATTTTGTAAGATTTCTCCCTTGGTTTATAATACACTTTCATTGTGAAATTCAAATCTGAAGGTTGCACTCATGCTTGAAAAGTATCATGTAGCATTTTAAGCACAAGTTTTTAATATCTCCTTAAAGGTCCTCACATTTAACAGAACAGCCAGATTTACACTACTGTTTCCCACTGGAAACAGAAAATAACACAAAAGACAGGTGTGTGGTCCAAAATATGCACGGCCATGGACCAGACAGCCCTACTTGACCATGTCTTCCTGAAACACATTCACTATATGTGAATGACACACGATTCTCTTCTACACTCTCCATGTCAACTGAGGAAAACACTGGTGTAAATAAGCTACTCTGCATCTATAATATGATTTGGACATCATATGATATTTACCTGCCTGTGACACTATGGCTTCAGAGCGTGAAGTTTTTCTTATAGCACAGAGCAACCACAGTAGTGCAAATTACAGGTAGATTGAAATCACACTTGACCCATGCTGTACTGGGCACATTCAGGGGTGTGAATTCAATAAGATATCTTATTGCATGACTGTCAGCATTATCACACATTTTTATTGTAAGTATGAACACTCTACTTGTGAAATAAAACCCCTAGTATGAATGTGTCCAAAATGATTATTTTTGTTTTCCTGAGGAAAAATGAAAAATATTCCCAGTGGAGAACACAAGCTTGGTGCCTCCTCATGGAATTCTATCTAAAGCAGGGGTGTCCAACCTTCCACCTTCCCTGGGCCAAATTTGAAGATGAAAATTTGGTTTGGGACGCACATACATTTGGTTTGGGCTACATGGGGGGGCAGCCCTAGCCATCCTCCGCAGCCCTGCTCCAAGCGCGTTTACCGGCAGCTGCAATCTCAGACAGCAGAGGCTGCCAGCTTCGACTCCGGTGGCTTTATGGGGCCGGGAGGGGGTCCACCTACTAACGGGGACGGCGCAATGCAGTCACACAGCCCCCCTGTCCCCTCCTCTCCCACTCCTTCCTTCCTTCCCTCTCTCCCCCTCTACTGTTGTGACATGCCCAGGCCATATTCCGGCTGCAAGCGTCAGCAGTGTAACTTGAAATTTTGGAATTTCTTTAAAAATAAAAAATTGCACTGGGCTGCATTATGAGCAGGTTGGACAAGCCTGATCTAAAGCAAGGAGAAAGGCTTGCCACTTGGTACGATATGAGCAAGATGTTTTATTCTTATGGGAAATGTTTTTTCAGTGACAGTCGTGCCCATAATCCAATACAGAGTTAAATGTGCTGCCACTAACTGCAATGAATGGTCTGGCAGGCCTCTCTCTGCTATGTTGTGGCCCATGAACACCATCACACTTCGATAAGTGGCCTTCCCTTGGCTTTGTGAGAAGCATTGTGTGCAACTGAGAAAATATTCCTGCTTGGACTTTAGAATCCATTCATATGTGACAAGAAAGGGAGTTAAAAAAACAATCCCTATAACCTTATGGAACAAACAACACTGAATCAGTCTTGCCTGTGGCCCAAGGCAGAATCTGTTTTTAATCTCTACCCAGAACAACTGTGGAGGGTTGAACATCTCCTCTTCCCACACACCCCCACATCAAGGCATGCAATTCACACCAACAAAATCTTGTGACAACACTGGACTTTCGACCCTCTTTACACTCCAATCCCGTAATTCTCTCTTTCCCTCCAGGGGCAGAGATGAAAAGGAAGGACCTCTCCCTGACTTACTATAAAGAAATCCACTGATTAAACACCCCCACCCACCCACAAGCCTAAATATTAGGCTTGTTCAACAGAAAATAAGCTTTGGGGTGGAGAACACATCCCCTTCCCTCAAGCCCTATATAATATTGCTTTCTCATCAGATCATAAAAGCAAGGAACTTGGTTCCTCTTTGTGCTTTATGTGCAACAGATTACCACATTTCTCCCCTCACACCTTGCTAGACCCTAGCCATACACCGTGAATCTCTAGAATGAATGGGCCAATAAAAAGGATGTAGAAGCAGTTCCCACATACACACATTAGAACACAGACCACACACTAGGGAGAAGCCCAATACTGCTGCAGTGTTTCTGCTCTCATTTCACCCCTCTCCTCTTTAAGTGGGCAAAACCAAACATGCAAGGTATGGTAACTTAAAAGTGCTTTATTTCACCACCGGCCTTTTCCTTGGCCTATAACAAGGAAGGGATGGAATAACTGAATGTTGTGCAGCTTCAAGAGGGCATTTTCTTACTCATGCTTTAGATGTGTAAGAAGCTGGTAGAAAATGAACATAGCACACTGCTGAAATGTCAAGAAAGGTGCGCCATATGTAAGAAAGAGAATCCAGGAGCTTTGTAAAATTCTTTCAGCAATACAAAGATCTATCTTTGGCTTTTTTACACATGAACAGAAAAATGTGATGTTGGAAATGGTTTGCACCCTGCTTCCTCACATTGCATTTAGTTCTGTGTAACCTATTGTCTCCTATCAACTAGTCTGTTCCTTTGAGTGTCCTGATTGTACATGTTTGGACAATGTGTAAGATGCAGTTCTGCTAAATCTTATGTGCAGTGCAGTTTTCTTTAGCCTAGTATCAGCCAACAGTGAGACTCGTTAAACTAAGAAATTATTAGGGAGATGGATGGCCGCATCAGCACATCACAAAACAAGACAAGAGGGTTGAGGGGTGACTTTTTTTCTTTGTAAAATGGCATACGAAGATACTAGAAGAAGATGGCCACTTCTATGAAAGGGTAGTAAATGCAATAATCTTTAAGGCAGATGTGGGGAATGTGTGGCTCTCCATATGTTGTTTGATTGCACCTCCCATCATCAGCAACCAGTGGTCAGGAATGATGGGAGTTAGAACCCAGGAACATCAGAAGGCCGCCTCTGTGGCTGTTCCCGGGTTGTGGAATGCTCTCTCTTCAAGAGGTTAGGTTGCCCCCATCCCTTTCACCCTTCTGGCAACAGTTGAAGACCTACCTCTTCAGGCAGGCTTTTAATCCCAAAATGCTGTTTTAAAAGTTTTTAATGTTTTTAATCATTAAATGTATTTTAATTGGTATTACGGTTTACTTGTTTACAATATATAATGTAATGTGTTTTTAAATTTTTTAAACACTGTGAGCTACCTTGAGTTCCCTCATCAGGAGAAAAGTGGCCTATAAATGAGACAAATAAATAAAGTAAACAAATAAATAAACATCTGGAGAGATACACATGGCCCATACATGACTTTAGGTAAAAGCCTTGAACAACATTTTCATCACTGCCTGGAAATATATAGATTGGGTGTAGCACAGAAACAGAATGTCAACATCAGGAATACGTAGACTCTGTTGTCTATCTTAAAAAGGGGGAAGGGGCTTTTCTGCCAGCAGCACAACATGGGGGGGAGGAAACAGTGGGGTGACAAGTGGTCTATTTTGCACTAGAGCTATAGTAGTTTTCCTTTTAATTGCATGAAAGCTGTCAAGAGTTGCACCTGGAAAAGAGATCTTGCTATCCCACTTGATAAAGGCCATGGTAAGAATAGGAGTGAATAGCAAAATGCCCCTTGCACATTAGCCCCATAAATTGTTTGTCCTTCATAATATCGTTTGCTGAGAAGACTGTGACCACTGAGAATGCCTCCATAGGGAGATTTGATATAAAGGAAAGCAGAAGTGGGAAACCCACAGCCCTCCAGATGTTGTTTGGCTCCACTTCCCACCAGCCTCTGCGCTCTGACCACTGGAGAGGGATGATACCAACATCTGGGGAGACCCAGTTTCTCTATCCTTAAAATAGTTTTACTTTATTGCACAAAATTGTACACAGAATAAATTCACTGCTATATTAACATGGTGCTGAAGAAACAATATTTCATGCTAGCTAATACTACTGATGTGGTTTACAGGCAGATTTTGACCCTGTCACCTTTTTTGTAGTTATTAATTAGTGTGAATATATGACAATATCATTACACTGCAATCCTCTTTAGACCATGTTGCTAAAAGCAAGTCCCACTGGAATGAATGAGCTTACTGAGTAAACCTGTACAGGGTCTAGCACCTTTATCAACCAGGAGCACAACCTGGATGAGCTACGTTTCCAAGCTATGAGCTCTTCCTTCTGGTTTATTCCTAGGAAATTATCCTGATTATTTCCTCACTTCTTAATATGTTAATCACCTGACTCCAGGGAACAAGCTCCATGTTACCAAATAGCAAAAGAGTTTTCAGCAAGAGGGGATAACCAGTGAACTAACTTAGCCACAGTAATTCTGGTGAAACAAGGCTTGGTTCACACAGTCGAGATGATGTTTCCATACATTTTCCAGGCCATTGTTGGCAAAAGATGGCTATTTCTTTGACTGAATCCTCCTTTTTCCCATGTACTCCTGGTGGCAACTTATTATGTGGGAACTGACTGGGCCAGAAGATGTCCCTCGATATTTCTAACACACGTGCACTCGCAAAATCTATTCTCTGTATGTTTTTTAAACCAACGAAACAAAGTAAATTCATCACTGTGTACTGTATTAGTTTGTTGTGGAATGGACAGAGATTAAATCTCTCAGACAGGAGTACAAAGTGCCTCACACCTAGTACAAATACTCCCATGCAGTTTATACTTTTTCAGCACCTGTTCTCTTCCATTAACTATTACCTGCTTTTGCTTTTGGTGCAAATCACACAATATTCCTACCACAGGCTCACAGCGCAGTTGGGCACTCCACTGGACTTTCCCAAAAGTGAGTCAATGCAGCACCCAGTCACAGAATAAGCCTTGTGATGAATGCCTCATAGAGCAATTTCATGTAACTAATCTGCAACTGACAAAACAAGATCAAAAGGGAACAGAAACTATAAACAGAAAAAAACAAACAACCACACATTCCAGCATGGCCAAAATATTCCTCAGAATTAGCTAGCCCACTATCTTTTGCAGCGCAATCCTATCACACCTAACAACTGGATGTAATTCTTAAAACCAACTGATTGTAACCTGAGATAAATAGTACACTTCGGACTCATTCAAGATCCATTTCTCTCTGCATACCAGACGAAGCTCCCTTCCACTCCCATTTATGTCACTCGCCCTTTCCATTCTTGCATTCTCACTTTTATTCCTTACTCACAGGTTTACCCACCTATCTTTCCAGATCCTGTTTTCTTTTGTCACTACTCACACTCATGAACATACATGTAAGCCTCTGGCTCCACTTTCCCGAGTCATCCTGCTGGCTTCCCTGGAGCTGTACCTATCTGGAGGTTCTTGTTCCCCCAACCCCTAGGGACGTGTGAGCTGAATGCCTCCCCAGACAAAGAGAGAGAACAAACTCTCACTGCAACAAGGGCAATAAAGCATTTTGTGATAAACCATTTGGTTTTGTTGGATTCAGAAAAAGGGCAAAAGTGTTAGTTCTTCTGTTAAAAAAGAAATAAATAAATAAAGAAAAACAGAGACTCTAGAAGGCTGGAGAGTGGCTGATGGCCACCTGTTGTTCCTTTGTGTCTGTTTTGCACCCCGGCTTGTTGGTGGCAGATGGGAGTGGGCAGAGGGGGAAGGGGACAGACAGGGAGGGGTCCATCAGTTCTCAGTAGTCCTGTGATTGGTACCCCTGTGTCTCAGCGTCAAAAGCATCTGCCGAAGGGGGTTGCTGGTACGTCCCCATGCTATCTGTTGTGTCATCTTCGTTTGTGTAGGGTGCATAAGGCATGCCAGCCTCCTGGCTTGGGTCCGTGTAGTCCTGGGAGAAGAGGGCGGAGTCGGCTCCAAGCTGGTACCGCTGGAATGCCAGAACTGACTGGCCAACCTTTATGGGAGCATGTGACAGTGTGGGAGAGATTTGGGGAAATGGGAAGGAAAAGGACGGAGGTGGGGGGAGAGAAAGATGGGAAAACATATCAAAGAGAAACAAACAGAACCTGGGTTAGTAGTGGTTAGTGCACAAGACATACATAATTAGTGCATGAGATATACAGGTGTTAACAGGATGAATTCAAATACATTTTAAACAGCAGGAAGATTTGGCACAGAGAGCACAAGTTCCAGAAAGAAACCGTAACACAAATAAAGGCACCTGAGGATAATAATTAATTTCAGGGAGAGATCTTTTGTTGATGGAGGCTTAGTCTAAAGCCTCTTATACCTCATCTTTTTTGAGAAAAAGGGTGGCAGAAGTAAGGCAGCAGCAGACATATGCATGTTTGAATTCAACATGCACAGCACGGCACCAGTCTCTGGAGCTGCTTGTGTTTGCTCATTGTACCTAAGCCCCATAGGCTAGGAATGAACACCAAGAGCTTCAGCCTGAGCCGGCCTCTTCTTCATTCATGTGGCTGACACAGGTGACTACAGAGGGAACGCCAGATGTGTCACTTCGTGGTGGCAGTCAGAAATGGTAGCACAGGGGCGGAGGTACCCTGAGAGAAAAGGTTACCTTGCCCATGGAGATGCATCTGAGCAGTGGTTAGATGATGGCCCATGGGGAGATAAGGCAGCCTGGTCCTTTCAACACACAAGACTGAACAGAGCAGTGGTTAATAGAGGCCCAGCCCACTGCTAAAACTCAGAGTTTGAAAAAGGGTAGAGTGGGGCAGGCATGGCCTAGTCTAGTGGGTGCGTGAGTGGTGTCTAGGAGTTTTAGTTTGAACTTTTAACTTTGCCAAGCTGTGACTCAAGTCTTGTTTTGTGCAGTGCCTTTTGGTGAAACAGGAGTAGAAAAAAAGTGAAATAGGGATTGCCGTTCTTCCATAGCATTTTGACACCATGTACCAGGAGAGGCCAAGTCCACAGGACACAAGGATGAGCAGAAATAGGAAACACATTTTAACAACGACCCTATCCAGGCTAAGAAGAAGGCACATTGGTGTTACCCATTGTTACTTTGGGGAAGAGGCAGCAGAACATAATAAAGTGAACATACATGTTCTATATTCAGCTATCTATCCATCAAGGACAGAGGGAAAAACACAACCCTCAAAAATTCAGAAGTATTTTCTTTCTCCTTTTGTCATCACCTGCACAAATACCCTATCTTTTAATCTTCTTTCACTCATTTTCTCTCCTGCCCTTAAGCCTGAGAGCTGGAAATACTGTCATTTTATTTCCTTCCTCATATTCCAATTTTTTTGGATAAGGATTTAGGATTAGGGAAGCACTGGTGGAGAGCTAGGAAACAGTGTGTTGTATTCTTCCTGAAAAGTAATTTCTCCAAGTCTCCGAAAGGCCAGAAATGTCAGGCAGCCCTGTAGGAAGAAAACAGGATGGAACGAGGGGCATTAGATATGAACCAGTACAGGGAATTTGTGCAAGGGCCTATGACTGAAACATGGCAACACATGAAGTAAAAGGAAAAGGACATTCATGTTCCTTGTGGCAAAGGGATGTCACTAGGAGGCCTCCACTATTTTTACAAAAAGACCCTGCAGACCAGCAAATTCTTTGCATGATTAAAGGACACTGATCTCCCCTTTGGCCAAAAAGGACTCAGCACCAGAGTTAAGGGGGAGAAATGCAATAAAGCTGCAATTAAAAAGACAAAAAACATTTTATCTGGGCAATTTTGTAACTGTTACGAACAGCAGAGAAAGTATCATTACAATGCCAAAGAAATCCTGTAATTTTATCATGGATGAAGTATACATCCTGATATCCTTCACCAACCTGCTATCCTCCAGATGTTTCAGATTATAACTCCTATCATCCTTTACCACTGGCTGCCCTGTCTGGTACTGATGGCAGTTGTCCAAAAGATCCACAGGGTAGCAGGTTGGAGAAAGGAAGTATAAACAAATCTAACTGGAAGAATTTTAGGTAGGAGAACACATCTTGTGCCAAAAAGCACCTATCGAGACACTCAGAACAATTTTAGACAGGCACACTGGGCCTTGTCTATCTCAGACCTTATTTTCCATTTTTTATAGGTGAGTAGGTATTTTAAATTTCCATATATATAAATATACACATTCAAATCATCATAAAAAGGTCATTTGCATGTGTACAAGCAGGGTGGCATGCCTGCAGGCTAACAACCTGCTTCAAGTTCCTCCCAGTTTTGGCAGCTAGCATATAAAATAAAGAGAAACAAGCACATTATTTTGAACCACTGTTGCAATCAAAATAATGCTGAAGACCATTAGACTGTGAGTGGCTGGAGCTAGGTGCTTACTCTAAGCCAGAGGTCATCAACCCCCGGTCCGCAGCCTGGTGCCAATCCATGGCTTGAGCCAGGCCGGGCTGTGAAGACAGACCTCCCTCCCCTGCACACACTCCCCTCCCCACAGCCGCTTTGCGCATGTGCGCACATGCCAGTGCCGGCGTGAGCGCTCCCCCACCTCTTCACGCATGCGCCCGAGTGCCCACATGAAGGGGTGGGTGCGAGCGCAGGCGCCCCTAGGCATACACGAAGGGGGGGAGTACTCACGCTGGCACTGGTGGGCGGGCGGGCACTCCCTCCCCCACTTTGTGCATGCACCCGAGTGCCTGTGCGAAGGAGTGGGCGCGGGGGGGGCGTGCAGATGCCCCTGCGCGAAGAGTTGGGGAAGCGCTCACGCCAGTGCTGGCGGGCGCTCCTCCACCACTTCACGCATCCACCCGAGAACGCGCACACACATGTGCGTGCACCTGCAGGGGGGCGTCTTCCTCGGAGGCTCAGCTGGTCTGCGGCCACAAAAAGGTTGGGGACCGCTGCTCTAAGCCACCCTAAGGATGTTTCATTCCTACGCGGCTGTTATTGGAATTAGTTTCTGTAAGTCATCCCCTTTATAGACAGGCAACAGGAAATTTACAGTATAATCATATTAAGCCGAAATTGTACTTACAAATGAACAACAGATGGGTGTCTGTACACACCACATAGAGATGAGATGGCAACCCTAGCTGGAATTAACTCTGTTGTTTCTGTCATTTTATGTAGCAGAGGTAGGTATGGACTGTGAACTCTGTTCAGTTCTAGTATCCTTTTTTTAGAAAATCCTCACAAATTTGTGGGCTCAGAATTCTTTAATTGTATGTCTTAACTTCCCACCACCCTCCAAAGTTTGCCCTGTAGCTGCCATCACCCTCAGCCAGCACAGCCACCTGATCAGGAAAGGCTGATTCACTGACTTCATTAGTCTGGGACACTGTGTACCTTTATGAAGTACAACTTCTAATAAAAGTAAAAGGTACACAGTTATTAGCCAGAATCCAGGACTGCGTTACTCACCCAGGTGAAGATGGAGAAAAAAGAGAATGCAATGGCTGCTCGGGCTGCGTCCGCTCCTTCGTTCAGTGGGTTGTCTTCTCTCTTTGAAACACGCCATTGATCAGCCAGGAAACAAAAACTAACAAACCAGAGAAATGCCCAGAAACCTGAGAAAGATCACAAGAGGAGAGAAAAGAACAAAGTGCATGTAAGTTTTAGTTTTCACATTTTCTTAATAATTTATATACTACAGTACCTTAAAAGACCAAGATACTGGACCAAATTCCAATTGGGTAGCCCATCGTGGGCTTATGTGGTAGATCTGTGATTAAAAGATAAAACGTGGTATTCACAACTTCATGTTTCTCTAGTGAGGGAACCAGGAAGAACTGAAAGGGGAGTATTGCCAGGTGAGAAACTGCTTGCATTTCTTAACTATATCTAAGGCACCACAAATCCTTCAGAATTGTTGGCATATCAATCCATTACAGCAGCTGCTGGCACAGGCTTGCAGCAGATTAAAGTGTTCATCTGACAAAGTGGGGTGCAGTTCATGAAAATGTATGCCAAATAAAACTTGGTACACATTTAAGATGCTGCAGGATTCTTTATTGGTTTTGTTCCAACAGGTTAACATGGCTACTCAACTGAAAATTAAACCATCATTAAACCCATGACATCAACTCTCATGGACAACAGCCCACTTGCTCAAATGCATTAAGTGTTATCCCCAATTGGTATATACAGTATTTCTATCTACATGCAGTACAAAGGTATAGATCAGAATGTTTGCATTTAGGCTGCAGTATCATCATCACCATCATCATTCAGCACTCCTGAAGTTTTTGAGTTCAATGCGCATCCCTTCCTCTACCTGACAATCCTTAGAATGGCTGTCATGTTGTCCATCAAATACAGTTAGCCTAGCTGGCTCCAGCAGATGTGCAGGAATCTTCACAATGAACTAGGGCCAGGGATCATGTCTACATGTTTATTTCCTTTTTTCCCCACAGCATACATACAAAGCAAGAAACCAAAATAGTAGGACCTTGGTGTCACTGTGAGCACACAGACAGTGGTTCTATCATAACATAAATCTGCATTCCTGGATGGAGATAAAACTAGTTGCTAGGGAAACACAGGGCAGGTTGACTTTTTTTTTTAATCAGAAGAGTCTTACAGAGGGATATACAAGGGAGTGATGGAAGAACAGCAATTTATTTGCTCTCCTGCATCTGGGGACAAACATGTCCCAATTTCTGCTCCAACAGGACTTAGAGAGAGCAAAGTATAAGTTATAGTTCTCACATTTTCCTAGACACTTATATATGTACTACAAAACCTCAAAAGACCTACAGACTGGACCAAATTCCAATTGTATAGCCCACTACAAGTTAGAATATTCAGAAGATGTGCCAATTAAAAAGGGCAAGGAAAAGGTTGAATGAGACCAAGGAGCAGTAAATTTGAAAGCCTGTTCTGGAAGAAAAAAAAATTATGGGAAGTGGCACAGCTAAAATAAACAGGGACAATGATCAGCAATTGTAACTTTTATTACCTGTGCATCTTTGGGAATCTTATATATGTACTACAAAACCTCAAAAGACCTACAGACTGGACCAAATTCCAATTGTATAGCCCACTACAAGTTACATTATTCAAAAGATGTGCCAATTAAAAAGGGAAAGGGAAAGGATGAATGACACCAAGGAGCATTAAATTAGAAAGCCTGTTCTGGAAGAAAAAAAGTTATGGCAAGTGGAACAGCTAAAATAAATCAGCAATTGCAACTTTTATTACCTGTGCATCTTTGGGAATAAGATGTGCCAAAAGGGAAAGGGAAAGGATGAATGACACCAAGGAGCATTAAATTAGAAAGCCTGTTCTGGAAGAAAAAAAGTTATGGCAAGTGGAACAGCTAAAATAAATCAGCAATTGAATTGCATATTACCTGTGCATCTTTGGGAATTTGAGATTTGGAGGCATACATTCTTGCATGCTCCTAATCTAATGATAGTCTGCTTAGACCATATGCAAACTTTGCTGCCTGGAGGACTGAGCTGCTATAAAGCTAATTCCAAGTGCTGTACATCTCCGCTCTTATGAATTACATGCATTTCAAAATGGTTTTCAGAATTTAACAGCACCAGTACACTTCAGAAGCAGAGTAAAACCAATGAAGTGTTTTAAAAAAGCTAACAGATATTTCCAGATTTTGAATCCCCCACTGTAAATCATTTAATCAAAGATCCCTATCTTAACAGACCTAATGTTTTGCATGTAAACAAATAATACATCCAAATAACTATTAATGAGGAGCGTTAAAAGAATTCCAATTATACAAGCTATGAACTGGAATGAAATTTCTTTTAGCAAGAAACAGGAAGAATGGATTCAGTGATTACATTTTGTTTAAACTGAGAGCATGAGCACTGGGCAGGGGAGTCCCCATTGCTATCTCTTGCCCCTGATGGATGAGGTCTATGCTTTGCCTGCCAGGTGCTCTCAATAGTGGAAGGCAAAACCAGTCTGACCCATGAAGGAAAATCAGCCTTGACCCAGACACCATCTGCATGAGCACAGTCGTGCAGCCATTGCTTGGATCAGGGACTTGGCCTGGAAAAGGCTAGGCACAGCAAAGCCAACTCATGGAGATCACATGACAACAAAAGCATGGCCACACTCCCAGATGTCATCTAACTTGCAACGTGTTCAGTAGTGATAATGGTTGCGATCTTCTGGCACCCATCCAAATAATATTATTCCACCACTAATCTAAAAACAGTTTTAATGGCAGTGGGAAAGCAAACAGAGCTGTGGGTTTCTTGGCTAACCTTCAAAGGCAGAGAGTCAGCATTCCACAGTATGCTTTGCAGAGTTCCAAAAAAGTCTGATGGTATGTATGCAAAGTTCTCAGAAACAGAACTTGAAACTGTTACTAGTATGGCCAGTGGCCATGCTGGCTAGATTTTGGGAGCTGCTGTTCCAAAACAGTAACATTTCTAAGCTCTGCTCAGCAATTCTATGTGATTACTAGTACTGCAGGACTTCACTACAAGCTGGCAATCAGATTCTTTCCCCCATTTTGAAACTTGCAGTCAGACACAATCCAGATTGTAGTAGTTCAATATATCAGTGTGGCATTTTTGTTTTATTTTGTAAGACAGTCGCTGACATCCTGTTGTGTAACTTTCACCTGTAGAAGGGTGATGAGGTCATCAGCAAGGGGGCATTTTCTGTATTAAAAACTTTCCACTTCTATCTTGTAACTTCCCCATGTAATCCATTTAATTGTGTGGAAGCTACAGGAGATGCAAGACCCTCGACTTACAGAATTAATCCGTATTGGAACGGTGGCTGCAGGTCAAAAAGTCTGTAGGTCGAGGCTCCATTGACCTAAAATGCACTGAAAACCGATTAATCCGTAACCGGCCGTTTTTGTTCCATTTGGGGTTTTTTCCCCGTCTGTAGGTCGATTCTCCGGCTGCAAGTCGAACCTAAATTTTGTGGCCAGAGAAGTCTGTAACTTGAAAAGTCTGTAAGTGGAGCCGTCTGTAAGTCAAGGGTCCACTATATTACTGAAAATCGCCTCCTGACAGTGATGTCATCATTTTCAACAGGTAAGTTATGCAACAGGATTCCAGCCTATATTCTTGCTTGAAAGAAAGATTTAAAATTTAAATCCATGTTTACCTTGGGATTCATGGGACACTACCCATCTCTTGATATGAAAGTATGTGACTAATTTGATTTTAAGATTTAGGATAATTTTATGTTTGCAGCTGATGGCTTAGTGGTAGAACAACCTGTGATGGAAATAAGCTTTTATGGCAGTTTCAAGCTTTGTTCCAGGAAATCCTGGTGTTTCCTGGAAGTTTCTCACTGAGAAATATAGTAATGGCACACTGAAATTTCACTGAAATGTGTCCACCAACACAGAACTTCAGATACAGTACGAGAAGAGAGTTGGCTGGTTGCTGTTCAGCTAGATAAGATGCTCAGCTTGTATTAAAAAGTGATACTTCTTTAAATGGTGAAAGACACCCATTTGTAATAGAACATGCTTTCTGTTATCTTTGTACCCAGCCTCCTTTGTTCTGTGGTCTTCAGAAGTAAACATGTGGGGCAACAGAGAACCCAAAGAACCCTAGCAACCCCCCACATCCAGGGGAACATGAAAAGCACCCTGATACATGCTCAGCATCAGCAAGCCTAGCAGGTCTACTGCTGATTTCACTATCTTTCATGCTCAGCTCTTGGCAACCATTTTAGTTTTCCATAGTCTTCCAATATAGTATCACTTAAAACATTGCAGACCTTGTGCCCACCTCTTTGGCAGAATAAGCCAGAGGTATATTATGCCAGGAACTGAAGGAGGTCAGACATCTACTATGGTTGTCAACTGCTGATCAGAGTACTGCAAGGGTGAGCTCTAGTAGTAGAAACTAGGTTTACATTGCTGGACTCAGACTGGGAAGACCTGAGTTTCAATCCCAGTTTGCCAACTGGAGACTTTGGAATGCTACCATTTCTTAGCCTTACATAACCATCCCACTGAATTGTTGTGAAGAATGAGCAATATGAACATCACTCTTGAGCTCTTGCCTAAAATCCCTTTGAAGGAGTACTTTGGCAGGAGAGTCAGTGTTGCATTAGTTTCCAGATGTGAAAAAAATTGAATCCCAAATTCCACTGTAAAAATCAGCAAGTTGAATTATAGATTGGCAAAGCCTACCCAGTGGGCATTTTGCAGCTTGTCAGAATCTCACTAATAGTCAGAGATAAAAGATGCACACATCATTGCATCAGAGAGACATTTAAAGGACAGAGAAAGGGTTGTGATGCACATTTAATCATATTTACAACAGATTCATTGAATCAATGAGTCTTAAGTTAGCAATTACCAATTGAAATCTTTTTTTTAATTTCTCTGGGCTTACTCTAAGCATGACTAAGTCTGGATCAAAAGCTATGTACCAAAATCTGCAATGGCACCAGGTCTGAGAGGGAGAGAGCACATATTCAAGGAGGAAAAACTTAACAGTAGGTGAGAAGTGATAAAAATGGGACCAGCTGAAGGAAAGTGTCAGACAAGAAGCCCTGAATGTATGAGGGAAGGAGGGAGGAATAAGCAGAAGGATTTCCTTCATGACTGCAAAACCTTCCAGTTCGAAATTATCTAGCGCATGCAGGTTACTCTGAATACTCTTCATTTCCACTCCAAAGCTTACAGCTGCAGTTCTAGAAGGATCTTCCCTGAGATCTGAGAAAGAGAATTGCCATCACAGCCCTAAGCAGACTACAACTTCTCTGTTCCTGCCCTCAACTTTTTAAATTTGGTTCTTTCAATGTCAAAGGCTCAGGCAAGGTCCTGAAACATCCCAAAAAGTGCTGTGTTGGGAGGCAGGGAAGGTTACAAAACCATCAAGGTTGTTAATAATTTGGCATACTAATTTGCTTATTTATTTATTTATTTATTTATTTATTTATTTATTTATTTTATTTTATTTCTATACCACCCATCTGCCAACCCAGGCCACTCAGGATGGTTTAAATTAGGATTAAATTAGTGTTGGAAAGTTGCAGCTGAGAAAGGGACAATACCAAAGAAAGAAGCTACTCTAAAGCTCTTTAATCTATAACAAAATCCCATATATGATTATTAAGTAAATATCACTGCATGCAATAAAAATAAGAGTACATTGGATTGTAGCCTTATTCATGCATTGGCATATACACCGTACCTATGGAATACCGTATAACGCTCATTTACTGAAAAGCTCACCAGATACACCAAGATCAGAGAGCACAGCTTTCTTGCGGTCCTTGACACTGCTGATCTGTGGGAAGTAGACATCTAGTGCCAGGTAAAGAAGGCAGCTGAGGAAGGCAAGGACTCCCACGGTGATACCATAGTTGCAGGCATTCTGGTTGCGATTGTAGATGCAGTATTCTTCCATTTCATTTGGCTTATTAACATAGCCTTCATTCACAATGGAGCCAAATACAACAATGGAGAAAAGCTGGACACAATGAGGAAAGATAAGCGTTAATATGATTCATTCTAGAAACACAGAATCTTTATCAGGGACACAATCCAGCCAGAGATAAGCACTTTTAAGTCCTATACATTTCAGTGACAGAATTAAACACTTCCGTAACTAGCATTGAAATGTGCATCAGTGTGGCTGGACTACATCCTGGATATTTTCATAAGCCATCTACCTCTAAGCAGTTCTTACTCGCTTTCAATCTCAGCTAGTAACTAATCCCTGCTCAAATATGCTGGAAAACAGCAGCAGCACCAATTCTAGCAGTTCTAGTTATTTATACTACCATAATTCAACCACCCACTCAATCTTCCACCTTCTATATCTCTGCAGCACATCTTCCCATGGTGTTAGGATGTCTTCTTTGCTATTCAAACGTTACAAACTACAGTTCCTCTGCTCCCCATTCACTTATTTAATGACATTTTATTTCATTCTCCATTCATCAGCCATTACTTCCAAATTTCTTGTTTCTTTGCTATTTTTCTAAATTTTGCTGCCTGTGTATTTGCATGGCAGCTCTACTATTTGACCAATACAGCCGGAAAGTTCATTTTATTGGTAAAAAGATTAATAGACTTAAGGTCAAAATGTAGCCAGAGAGGGCAAATGCTTCTCTGTCCCATAGTACAGGCTTCATTTTAAAAAGAACTGCTGTTTTACCTGAAGCCTTAAAGAGCAGCAAATCTCTTTAAATCCAGGCAGAGCCCCCCACCTTTTGTTTTTCAAAAAAAGATATGGTTGTCTGCAAAACTGGAACTAGACTTCTCATCATTTATTTTTATATTATTTTAGGAGGCTGGCAGCTCCAAGTGGATGAAAGGGGGTCCCTGGGCTCCTGTAATTTGTTCATGGTTACTTTTAAAAGTTCAGCAAGCCCTTTAAAGTGATAGTGATTTTTGAAAACCTATCAGCATTAAAAACGTACTTTTGTGTATTAAAAGCCTATGAGAGACTGGAAGCAAGATCACTGTACAGTAACACTGCTTTGCCAAAAAAAATCTCTTTCGTAGCTGGCAGTCCAGCATGGAAGTAAACAATTGAGAGAAAAAAACTTGGGTCCTTAATAAGTTAGCCTACCAGCAATTTAAGTCCATAGCATTTTGCCTACCAGTAAATTAGAACGAAAGCAAGTAAGTGTTAGTATGATTGGGTTCGTTAAAGATTTGAAGCAGTTCCTCTCTTTTGGCGAGAAATGACGAGTGAGCCTCCTTTGAAATATTAACAGATTTGGTGATTCTACAACAACTTCCATGGGTTCAAAACAACTGATATCTGGCAACTGTCCAAAATGTGAAGACGACAACTCCATCTGTAAATTGGCAAGGTACATTTAGGGGTTGGCCCAAAATGTTCCCCATCAGTGGGTTTCCTCATTGGAGCCCATTGAACTGCACATATAGTCCCACAACAAGGGTCTCCGGCCCAATCTCCCTTCGGTGGTGGTTGGTTGAAGGATTGGTCTGGTTGCATCACCTTCCTTGAGTGACCTGGTCCCTGCGGAAAGACCACAACCCCTTTGTCGATGTTTCCTTTTCCTTTGACAAGTAGGGATCAGGCAGTCATCCTCCTACCTTCAAATTAGGGAAATATTTTAATAACCCGTGCACTCTTTCATATCTCTGTTCACCTTCTTCTCTCTCTCTCTCTCCTTTTCTCCCATTCTCTCTCTCCTTGGTATACTAAACTGTTTCCTCCCACTTTGATCTCCTATATCCTCTTCCCACACAGGCAAAATGAACTGCTCCTCCCCTTTTCCTTTCTTTCGCCAAACAGATTTCAATCTTCCCTTCTTTCCCCTTTGATTCCCTTCCTTCCTCTTCCTCCACACACAATTCCTCGCTTTCTATTATCTTCTTTCTATCTCTGTCTCACGCTCCGACATCTCTAGTTGAGGGGATGACTCACTCTGTTCTTTTTCCGTTTGGTCTATCACTACTTCACAGTTAGTCAAAATAATAACGCTTATTGTCATGATGACAACTTGCCGAATTCTGATTTACAGGAACTGTATTTTTCAGGTGTTATAAAAGCAAAAGAGATTTCTATTATAATTTTTTTCACCATGGAGTATCTCTGTGGAGAACCATGGTTTTAAAATAATCCCCTGAAAAGACATTAAATGTGGCTGCAGCTGTTTTAGGGTCATCCTGCTGTTGCCTTGTCAGGTCAGGAACACAGAGATAGTTCAGGACAGAAATCCAGATGAAGTGCATCCAAGAAAGGAAAAATATTGTTAACTAAATAATTGATAGTTTGCTGCCCATTAATGGAACACCAGGCTCAGCCACCTAAGGCAAGGAGTCTCACCCTATCGAACTGTAGGGCCATTGGTAGGAAGACTTGAGACACCTGTAGGACAGGTACATGGGGGGATTTTAGAATTGTCTAGACTACATACAGAAGCTAGTTGCTCCTAGTGATGCTTCCCCTTGATACTTGTCAATGCCATTTCACCATACTCCTCTCTTAAAGCTCAGTCTAGGTTCTGGACGGGAGGAACCAAAGGCCAAAAAAAAGCATAACTCGGCAAGAACAAGAAGGAAACACAGAAGAGGAAGTTTTGTTGTTGATCCAGTACAGTCATGACACACTCAGACCCAAGCATGCTTCCCTGTTCCTCCATTCTTTGCCCTTGTATGCCAATATCATCCAACCCAAGCTCAACCAATAAGACAGCAAAGGCCCAGGCACCCAAACTGCTAATTATGACTCTGCCTGCCTGCCTGAGATGATTCCTTGAAAGGAGAGTTTCGTCTCTAGGCTGGCAAAAGAATAAAGAGGCCCACCATTTTCCCAAGTGAAAGGGTTAAGTTAAGGGCATGTCCAAGGTAGGGAAGAAAAGAGGACGCGTATCTGTAGTTTAGACCCTAAAAGTCAGGGGCCTGCAATTTGAAAGGCAATTCCCTTGGTTTTCCCTACATAGACAGCAGGACCCAAAGAGCAGCCTCTGAAGTAGACTCTAATAATGGAATGGATTCGTGTGGATGACTGTTGTCTTGTGACACAAGCTACAGTACACAGAGCTTTAAAAGTCAAGATGTGCATTTGTATGAGAGGTTCTGAAAGATCCCACAGTCTAATGCAAATGAGCTCGTGCAAGAATTAGCAGTGATAATAATTTTGCTCAGTGCCATGACACTTAAGATAGAAAAATGGTCTGTTCAGGACTGCAGTTTTTGTCTCTTTTTTACTGACACCCAAATATGCAGATTGAAGGGAAGGAAATTATGCTTCCTTTGAACTGCTTGCCCTGAAGCAACTGCTTTGCATTGCTTCAAGGAAAGATCACATTTTTAAGCCATATAATAAAATCCGCTTTACTGACGAAGAACAGAATGAACTAGCTCTGTCATTTCGGATCCATTCAATATTAATAATATCAATATCAATATCAATATCAATAATATCAATATCAATAATATCAATATCAATATCAATA